AATTCCGCAGACCGCGGCGGCACAGCGCGAGCAGACTCAAACAGAGGACACAAGGTGTGTGTTTATCGATAGATTGTTAGAATATCTGTATCTGTGCAGTTCTTTGTCATAAATACAGTTCACAAAAGGTCACGAGGTAGCAATCGGTTTCCCATCTACTGTAAAGTTTTCACTGCATTCACCCCTCATCACACCACAGCTGTTTCCTCCAGTGGAAATCTAGCCCTTAACACATATGAACGCATACTTTATAAAACGATCATATTGCTATTTTCATTTGAAAATTTCATATTTAATATAAAACATATTACAGTGCATGTGGCATACCATACAGTAATTCACAGAACTGATTAAAGACAGTGACAGACAGCACTCAGTCAATTCACTCATTTTAACTAAAAATCAGAGTGATTGACAGAGATACAGTAGAAACATTATGTGTGGTTTTGTATTAAATAATGACCCAGATCGTGAAATACATTTATTAGCCTTAGAGTAAGGGGAGCACAACTCGGGAAATGAGAGCATCAAAGGAGCATGTGAATGCTATGTATATTTATTTTTAATGTTCTTTAATGTTATCCATCGTTTTTTATGTGGCTCTTTTTTTTTAAAGTATCGGTTTAGGCACCGGTACAATTTTAAAAGTATCGATTTGGCACCGGTATCATAAAAAAACCCAATCGATACCCAACCCTAACAGTGGGTTTGCATTTGAAAATTAAATTTTGAACCAAATGAAACCATGCGACCAATATAATGTTACTTGCTTTGTTAGCAGTTTGAATTGTAACATTTGAGTATTTGGATATATTTCCTTATGCACTAACCTGTAAAACTAACCTGTTTTTTCCTGAATATTCTTTGACCTTGATGGTTTTCTTGTGTTCATTTTTGTAAAGGAAATGCTCGCATATTCTCGCATTGTCAGTGTGATTTAGCATTCAGGGGAGATCTCCGTTTTGGAGGCAAGATCTGTTTTTAAATAGTCATTTAAGACAGCCTAAAAGTGAATTGTTAGTGGATGTATTCAGCTGTCAGAGCCATGCATACAAATATCAGGCTTCACATGATCACGAAAAGCCTGGAATGTCCAGAGGATTTTAAAATGGTGATTTCCAGGGCTGGAAAAGTCAAAGAAATTCAAAGAAGTCGTCCGAAGGTCATGGAAATCTTGAGTGATTATACATTTTTCTATCTCTAAAAGATTTCATTGACTGGGTGTTGCTCTTTGCGGGAGTGTAATCTCCATAAAATTATTTTTTAAAATCCTTGTCCAGTAATTAGTCTTGGAGAGTCATCGGTCAAAAGGTACAAAAACCCTGAAATGGGGACAGACAGACCACAGATTGTCGGATGGCTTTTCTGTACAAAATGAGAACAGGTCCAATTTCTAGCTGTGAACCTCCAAATCATATGTAGACGCTTTGCTATTTATATTCATATTGAAAATGTGTTTGTCAAGCACAGTGTTTTAGATCAAACCCGCCTCAAAAAGTCTGTTGTAAATTATTGAAAATCAAAATTCAGATGCGTGTGCCTGAATGGTTTAGCATATGAGTTGTGGCTAAAGACACATGTCTCTTTGCACTGTGCATTCTCTCTTTCTGTCTGCTGCAAGGCAGTGATATTAATTCCACTAATCTGTAGTCTCAGGGGCTTGTGGGAATAATTAGGCAGTTGGATTACAGCTCATTTGGGGGATTATATTCCTGCATTAATCTCTCACAGTGGCCCAGGTTTATCTCTGGCTGGTTGGGTAGCTCCCTCTCGTTCTCTGTCATGCTCCTCCCACTTGTAGCCTTTCTCTCTTGGAATTTCCTATCCTGTTGCTGAGACAATTAGATGTATCAGACATACAACACCATTATTTTCCAGGCAGTCTCACAGGCCAATGAATGGTTCTGTTTTGTTTTGTTTTTTTCTTTTCTCTTGACAACCAACCATCGATCTATGGCTTTGTTCACAGTGCTTCCAATTCCAATCTTTAGGACTGACTGTCCCCACTGTCATTTTACAAATTATGAAAGATTCATTTGATCAAACAGTGTGATGAATATCCGTTATATCTACACGGGTTGCCATATTAATGACTTAAGTGTCTGCACGATTCCAAAAGACATGAGAAGAGCTGTCATTTCATCAGAGGGTAGAAAACTTCTTGATATTTCATCACAGTGCTGAACTCATGAGGCGCATCAGACATCATAAGTGTCAAGAGTTTTTCAAACCGCATATGGATGTGATTTAGATTACGGCTGCAACTAATGATTACTTTGATAATTATTTAATCTGTTATTTATGTCTTTTATCAGATTTGAAAAAGTCCAATTTTATTTCCAGTACTGGTATTTTATTTAAAAAAAAAAAAAAAAAGTTATTACAGCCTGCCCAATGTGCATACTGAAGATATGCTATATACATTGTGCAAAAAAGGGTAAAATGTAAACATTACATTCTAAAACTTGCCCACCATAATAAAATAAAACAAAATCAACTGCTATAATTCAGATTTGTTTTGTCCATAGAAATGCGTTATTGACTAAATGTGTTATTTACTATATTAATATGAATGCGTTATTCATGTAAAGTGATGTAAATGGTTGTTGTTTTCTGTGGGTAGAATTGGTTATTGGTTATTGATTTCTTTCTTTATCGATTATTATTGATTTTATTGATTAGTTATTGCAGTATAAGTTTAGATCAGTTAATCTTTTTATATTCAGACTACAAATGGATTTGAGTCAGATACACCAAAAATACGATTTTTGTTGCGTGCCTGTAAATGAGTGGTGTGTAGAACAAATTTTGGGACCCCATGAACCATGAGACAATTCAAGGCTACACTGCTGAAAAAAACAGCTGGGCTTAGCTGGTCTAGCTGGTTTTCCAGTGGGTGACCAGCAGACAATTGGCCATCCCTCTAAAACCACCAATCCAGCTGGGAGAAGCGCAGTGGGGATTGATAGCAGAGTGTCCTTGTGTTTCAGCACACAGGCTGTCTCAGATCAGTATTCAGCATGCCTACACCTTACCATCTGATTCAGCACTGCTTCTCTACTGAAGGTTGATTGAAAGATCTCTCTCGTTTCTCCCCCCTCCACATCTTGTTTTGCTCTTATCGCTCTCTAGCTGTCTTTCTCTGTCTGTCTGTCTGTCTGTCTCTCTCTCACACACACATACTGATTCAGATTCATCATTATTAACATCAGAGACCAAGAGACAATCCCGTGGGGACATTTGAGATGTTCAAAAACTTCAAAATGTTTAAAAGCATGTTTTCTGCACTGTTTTACTTTCACTAAATGAACATAAGAAAGAATGATGTTTAAAACCATATTTACTTTATGCTTTTATTTTTATATTTTCAGTTTTCATTTTAATGTAATTTTTTTTTTCTATTTAGCTTAATAAAACACATGCACATGATAGTGTTAATTCAGTATTATTTATGTAATATTATAGTATTTTTTAAAATTAGCGTTTAAATATATTTTCAGTTTTCATTTTAATTGACCAATTTTTTGGTCATTTTTATGTGCTTTTGTCATTTTTATTAATTTTTTATTATTACTTCATTAATATTTTTATATAGCTTTAATTTCATTTTTTTATTTAAGGTTTAGTTTTAATCATTTGTGTACTTCAACTTAAACATATTTTATTTCAGTTAGTTGCCAAGGAAGCATTTCTAATTTTCATTTAAGCTTTTGAAGTACATTATTTTACTTTACTTTTACCATTTATTGTCCCCCCTTGAGGGGCAATTTGTTTTACAGTGGTGGAGAACAAGCACATATAAAACAAACAAATACAACATACCATAGTACATTAAACATGAATAAATATTAAACATTTGCAATAACCTAAAAATGCACCTTTTCCTATTTGAATTGAGCTTGGAATAGCATATGGTTTAAATTTAAAAATAAAAAAAAAAAAAAAAAAGTTTTTCCATCTAATACTTAGATTTGATTTCTGTTTTATTTCAATGAATGAAAATATTAATAGTTTTAATTAATAGTTGTTGTTTTTAAGTTTTAGTGAACAGTAAGTACACTGAGGTAAATTTATAGAGAATATTATTGTGATTTCTTCAGGAGCTGTGGGTATGAGTTTGGTCTGCCATGTGTCCCTCGATCATTTCCATTCACTGAAAAGAAGAAAAAGAAAGAAAAAAATGACTGGCTTCTGGTTCCTATGTTTCTCACGTGAACCCCAGTATTTATATATTTATTTTTCTTCCCATACTATTGACAGACATTCAAAGACATATCTCAAAATAAAAAGAACTCTTGAGCACAGCTCTTGAAATTTTAATATCGACACTTATAAGATGTTCCATACCTGCATATAACCTTTTAATTTTTTTCCGTCTTTATTGGAAGATTTGTGCCAATTTACGTGTTTGTATCCTTATTTTCCTAAGATATAAGCAAAGAGTGGCATCAATTATGCTCCCTTTCAGTCTCTGACAGCTGTGCAGATATACAGTTCCTCTTGTTTGACTTCCTCTTAGATGGTCCTTTTATGTGTTTGTGTTTTCACAAGCTTGTTTCAATCTGGTATTCTCTCTTTTATATTCAGCCTGCATCTCTTTCAAGCTAGGCCGCTTCAAACGTCACCTTTATATTAATCTCGGCTTTAACGGCACGCAGAGCCATGTGCATGTTTGTGTGTGAATGTAACACTGTTGGATAATATTCCTCTTCTCTTTCTCAGCAACTCCTGCGAGAAATGCAGCAGATGGCCAGCCGACCATTCGCCACCATCAACGTTGCCTTGGAGACGGATGAGGAGCCACCAGACCTGATTGGTGGAAATGTGAAGGTTAGCGTGACCTTTCTTGTGGTGACATCAGAGTGGCTTTAAGAGAGAGTGCAGTTACTGCATATGTTAATGTTGAGTCACTGGCTCTGTTCCAAAACCTAGTGAGCTGCATTGCTGTCTACATAAGCAAGCCTTCTAAAACTGCAACCGAATAAAAAGTCTTTCGGAACTCGGCAATAAGCAGCAACTCTCTTAGGACGGGTCACTAATGCACTCCTAATGTGACGCACACAAGAAACTCGATTCTTATGATTTGTTTCTAGTTAGCACATGTTGCTAAGCTAATGATTCAATGCTCAAATAAGCACAACAAATAAATGAACAGTACAGTAGAATGCAAATATTCAGTTTTTCATTAAATGTATAGGGAAATACAGATTTCCCACGTTGATTCAAATTCGCAAGCTCTTTATTTGATATTTCAGTTATAATGTCCAGTTTGCTTTGCTTTAAAATTCTGTCTCTGCTAATGTTGTAAATTATACAGGGAAGTGTTTCAGAAGCTGCAACCCTCTACGCCCCCCTCGGCATTAGAACCGCCATTGGCTAGTAAATTTCTTAGCATACCCACCAGACTCTGTAGAAATATATGAATGATTTGGAATGTGATTTTCTTTATAAAATGACAGCTTTTTATGAAGACACTTTCATATGTATTGCGGCCTGCGCCCACCCACTACTTTCTGCTTAGTTTTAAAGGTTGAATAATTCCAAATTAACTCAGTCATTTTGACAGGAAAAACAAGAAAGAATATAATTTACATGTATTGCGTCAATTCTACATGGTATGTAAGACTCAATTGATTCTATTTTTGCATGTGTGAGAGAAACGGTGAGTGTGGCACCTACACACAGAGTTTATGGTGCGTCACATACCCTGCACATCCACTGATATCAATGGGAATAATGCATTTACTTCGCTATAAAGTGACTAACGATAGACATTATTTAGTCATCTCACATTAAATTGTCACATATGCAAGCAATGTAGAGGATTCCACTGCTTCTACTTTTCCCAGGCTTAACAATGAATTCTGGGTATTCGTAGACTGACGTTTCACTCTGCATATTCCTAAACCCTGGGTTAACTTGGGACTACATTGTAAATTTGTTTCAAGTTTCTTTCCATTATTTGATGGTACATAGTTATTTTATTGCATTGCATTTAGTATAGATTTCAAACTCACATTCACAACTCAAGTAAAATTTAATTTCTTTTTCAGCAGCAGCAGCATTGATTTAGCAGTGGGGGAATACTATGCTGAAAAAATCGTGCAGAAAGCACTGATCAGGGGAACTTTCTGGGTATATTACACAAATATTTATGTTAAATATTAACAACAGGGCCCAAACTACGAAGTTGACGGAGTTATTCCTCCATGCAGGCTACATTCTCATGCACCCACTGAAAATAGGAATCGAGTAAAAGATCGATCATGGTATTTTAAGAATTGATATCTAGATAGTTGAAATAAAGACTGCGATTAATTGGAAAATCTGTGTTTTACCCAACACTATAAATGAAACGATTCTATTGATTTTATAGTGGTAAATAAAATATATTTCTCTCAAATCAGAGAGCTCTAGGATTCTAGGATTGCTTTATCTGTGGAGGATACATCTGATACTACCTGATAACTTGCCAAAATTAGGTATATTATAAGGCAGTATAGATTTTTGGGAATGTGCCTCAAGTGCCGTCTTGTTAGGCAGCTCACTAGGTTTTAGAACATAACTTCTGTGTATTAAGTCTCAGACTAACCCTCTTTGTTTTTGACATTCTGTGGTGCTCAGCAACTTTAAACCATCCCACTTCCAGTGTCTAGTTTTGATAGAGCTTTGTTTAATTCTGTTTACTTTAGTTTCGAGGCCTGTTGACCCCACTATGAGATTTGCAACTGATAACTACATTACATAGTATTGCAGCTATATTTGATTTCAGGAATTGTTGGTTTGTAATTACTCTTTTGTTTTGCTTGTTGTCCTAACACTGTAATGACAGCCCTAGAGTGAAGATCCAATTTAGATGTACCTCTTTCCTGTGTTCTCACTCCTGCTCCATCAATGTCCTGTGCTCACTATCAAGGTTTAAAAGTAATTACAATCCAGCCGTCCTTAATAGCAAAAAGCTATATATCCAGTTATTTCTCTCAAATCGCATAGAAGGACCCCAGAGGGTGTGAAACTAAAGTAAACATGACTAAACAAAGAGTGATTCACACAGGAGGCTCAGTGGACTTCAGAGCATTCAGTGTCTCTGACACATTCAGTATACGTCTGCTTACTCTCTCACTCACTCACAGTCACTCTTGTTTTCTTTAATTATAAGAGTTAATTAAACAGAACCTGTCTTCTGCTTGCTCAGTCTGGTTGCCTCAGATAATCACCTGAGCCAAAACGTAATGGACACATATATATAAATATATAAATGCATACATAGAGCAATACGCCCCTCCATACTCATGCCGATGCTCTCAGAGGCTAAAATTAAATTTTACTAGGAGTTTCTTCTTTTTGTGTGCTGGAGGAGTAGGTGTGTATGGTGTGAAAGATAAATGCCGTTGCCCCCTGCTCTGAATTGACAGTGGGAAAGTGTGAGGAGGAGAGAGATAGAGAGGAGTTGAGGGGGTGAACTGGCCTCGGTAGGATAAGAAGTGGTTTAAAGAGAAGAATATATGAAGAGAAGGATGGATGAATATGCAAGCGTGCTGTAAAGAGGGGAGAATGTGTGAATGAGGGGTTGGAGAGCTGCAGTAAGCATGCAAACACTCAGCCATTGTACAGTCTTTTTGATGCATATGCACTAATACCACACATACACACAGCACACACTGGGGAAACTCGGCAGTTACGGAAAAAGAACAAGTGTGTATAAAAGAGTTTATGTAAGTCTTGGGACTGAGGGCAAAATCAGAGTGTGAAATGGGTCAAAGCTGGAATATGATTTGTGAGTGTGTTCAAAAACAGAAGCTCATGTGCTTTGCTTTCAGCCCTGCTCCACACATGCATTAAAAATACTTACAAAAAAAGACAATGGTTTTTGTGCACGTAGCATGGAATTCTTTGTAGTACAGTACCTTGGAATTAAGCAGTCGTTCCAGTACACTGGTACAATATACTATGTCAAAGTAATAAGTTAAAGGGTAATTGGAAAAAAAATACAAAATTATGCTAGTTTTATTATTATTTTTAACTTATTTTTGAACTTTCTATTCATCAAAAATCCTGAACAACCATGTATCATAGTTTTCAGAAATATTAAGCAGCACAACAGTTTTCAACATTGATAATAAAAATGTTTCTTGAGCAGCAGATCAGCATATTAGAATGATTTCTGAAGGATTATGTGACACTGAAGGCTGGAGTAATGATGCTGAAAATTCAGCTTTGATATTACATGATTAAGTTGCATTTTAAAATACATTGAAATAGAAAAGTTATTTTAAATTGTAATAATATTTCACAATATTACTGTAATTGAGCATAAGAGACTTTAAAAACATCAAAATCTTACCGACCCCAAACTTTTGAATGGTAGTGTAAAATTTTCAATTAAAATTCACTCATTTTGCTAGGCTGAGCATTTTCTCTAGTGGTCTCTGAACCCCGCTGTATATTTTTTTTGTAACCGTTTCTCTTTTTTCTCACAGTCTGTGCCTAAGCCCATAGCTTTGGAGCCCTGTTTTGGGAATAAGGCAGCGGTGCTCTCCATCTTTGTTAGATTACCCAGAGGCCCCGGAGGTATTCCTCCTCCAGGACAGTCAGGTGGGTCGGCGAGCCAATGCATTTGGCCCCCACGCTGAGTGCTGAACATTTTTACACTCTCTGCCACCAAAGCCATTATACTAACGGTCAGAAACACCTCTTTGTCTTCCTCTCTTCTCAGGTCTGGCAGTAGCGAGTGCATTAGTGGACGTCTCTCAACAGATGTGTCTGGGATATAAGGAGAAGTCGGGAGGGTTGCGTAGCCGCAAGCAGCAGCCATTAGCACAGCCTGCCACCTGCATCTGACATTTACCCCTTGTCCTTTGACCTCGGACCCCTGCCAGGTCTGAGTCACAGGAACACACGCTTATGGCTGGGTCACATTCACAGAAGAAGCAGGGGGGCGGTCTCTGATTGGAGAAACTGAATCTCTCCTGGACCAAGCTGAGAGAACACTACAGGAAATGAACTCTGATGTGACCCTGACTGATAGGACTTATCCTGGGCCACTTTATGATATTTAACTTATTTCAGTTATTTTATTCCATTTTTACAATCAGGAGGAAGAAGTATCCTTGCATTGCTGCATCTCTGTTGAAGGCAACACACACAAAACCTTCCTTCTGGAGACTTCTTTGGCTGCATGGCTATAACACAAATACACATATGCACATACAGTACAGGACTTCTTTTAGAGGCCACAAATTGCTTTTATTTCTTAAGAATTAATCGGGTTTCTGATTTGATGTGTAGGAATAAGACTCAGCGAGCTGGTATGTTTACAAGCGTTTGACTTTACAGGTCATCTGTGACATCTCTCCCAAGCTTTTCATCTTTTTCACATCCTTCCATTCTCTCTTGAATTATCTCCTTTCACGTTCATGTAGTGATCGGAGACATGAGTGTTTATGTTTGCCATAATGATTATGCTGCTTCTGCTTTTATCATTTACTACTTCTCTCTTATCTGAAATCTCAGCCCATTTTTCAGGCACATTGCAAGGAAGGAAGAAATAAAAGGCGACTGCAGGCAGCAGGGTGGAATTAGAGCAAACAAGGACCTTGTTTGGGTTTCTCAAAATGTCAGATGTCATTTTGGGATGGCGAAGGATTATCTGCATACACAAATGCACAAACCTGGACCTGCGTAGGAGACCGGGGGTATTCTCCAGGATATGGAGTGGATTGCCTAGTTCAAAGGAAAGGTCAGAGATGGAGTGAGCAAATGTGACATTATGAAATCTAAACCGGTGTAAGTGTGTGTAGCAGCACAGTCATTACATCTTTCATTATCCTGGCATGCGTTAGTGGGTGGGCGCACAGCTGTATCCAGACAGCACAGATGACCTGCTTGCCGGTTCTTAGAGTGCCATGAATAAAGGGACACAGGTCGCTAGACCAGAACAAATCCTCTACTATTGAGAGCCCAAACAGGATGTTATTAATCTGTCTGTGATCTCAATGGAAAATTCATGTCCTGTGACACCCATCAAGTGTGAACGTAAGCTGGTCACAGACTGAATGTCGTAGAGAGACCATTTATGATTTTTTTCTCATGATCTGTTGGGGCCCAAAAGGGAAAAATGCGCTCACACGTACACACAAAGTGATCTAATGAAAGGAGCTGGTCTCTCTTCCTTCAGATGGAAGCTAATTCTCACATTGCTTTTCTCTGTAAGCCTCAAACAGTACTCCTCACACACCGACCGCACCATCTATATACAGTGATACTGTAGATATGGAGTCTGTAGTTTGTTAATATGTATAATGTAGCAGCGAGTGCATTCAAGTTTTTTGTACATAGTGATGGACAGTAATGTGAATGCCGTCTCTGTTAAATGACTTACTGCACTTGGCGGGTGGAGTATCCCAGGCTTTTGAAATATGACTGCATTGCAGCTTCTTTTGAATGTAAAATGGCGAATGTCATGAACAAACTCTAAACTAGCAGCCTACTTTAAGAAAAAAAAAATAAGACCTGGAAATTTAAACTGACCTTGTAATTATATGTGTACATAAAGAATGTCATAGAACATTTTGTCTATAATTAAACGGTAAAATGAAGATGACTGCCTGTAAATCAATTGTTCTAATGTTGAGTGAAATTTCAGTGTTTGTTAGCTAATCACCCTTCGTCTATTTGATGAGATAACAAGCTGCCTTTGGAGGTTTTTTTTTATTTTTTTTACTGAGTAATTTATGTAGCCCAAGAGGAAATGGCACACTTATGGTACAGTACGGCATCTAATGTACATTGTTTTATCTTCATTGCATAGTGTGCTGTTGTAAGCATTTAAGCTTGTCTCTCACAACAGGACAGATGAAATGCATTTGTTATCTCCTTATTATCAGCAGGCGGATGAGGATAAACAAGTATCATGACAACTTCCTCGGCTCGGCATGAGCGTTTATCCAGTGCCTCTTCAGAGTTTTTCCAAATGGGATTATGAGGGAGCTGTCAAAGTCTCCCCACTCAGATATATTAGATACTTTCAGCTTCATAATTGAATGGAAATTCTCACTATTAGCTGTATATTTACATTTTTTCAAGCAAATTGGCAGGAATCCAGAAACCGAGAGGGTGAATATTCTTTTCACAAATCCCCTACTTAAAGCTGCAGTCCGTAAGTTTTGCCTCTTTGTTGCCATCTCCGTTTGAAAACCTGGAATTGCAGCTGTGTGCGGAATTATCTAGCTTGCGTGGGTTGTGAGTCGGCATGGCTCCAGCGCGGATGAATCTAATGTTTTGAAGAGTACGTGTGGCAGTCAGTCACTGCACTGGTGTGGATGTTTACTGTACTTCGCAATCACAGATTCTAGCTTACGTCTTGTAATATGACCCAAATAAGAATTGTCACCAATAAGCTAACCTTGTGAATCGGGCTAAAGTAAGGCGATAGTTTTGAACACTGGCTGGTTATGTACTTGCTCAAATATTGATTTCGGATCATTTTTAACCAAAAAAACGTTACGGACTGCAGCTTTAAAATGGTAATTTTGGCCTGTGGCGTCTCAGAGGTCTTGACCTTCTCTACTGTATGCAATGATTAAAATCATGCGCCGTAATTTTGACAAATTTCTGTTGAATTAATATTTCATTGTAGTGAAAATGTTTCAGGTTTAATTGCTACTGCATGATTTTTCCATTTCCAGGAAAAAAAGGAACATTTCTTAAAATTATGGGACCCAGGAAGTCATTGTTTGGACTCATGCTGTGACTACATCATCATGGAAATCATCTAATTTCATTTACTCAATTTTTACACAAACTGTAGTGATGCCTGCATTCATCAAACTCAGCCGTTCAACGCTTTAAGCAAAATTATTTAAAAAAAATGTGTTTGACAGTTTAACAGTTCTGAAGCTTAGAGAGATTCTAGTCATCATTTACTCAACCTCAAGTTGTTCCAAACTTGTACAAGTTTCTGTTGAGCACAAAAGATGTTTTGAAGAATTTTGTTGTGTGTGTGTGTGTGTGTGTATATATATATATATATATATA